TTCAGCAGTTTAAAGGCTTTTTTTTGTGTGTGTGTGTAGCTTTGGGAAGCAATTCTCAATTTCTTCAGCAGCAAAGCTATTGGCATATACTTACACTTACTAGCCCAATTATTAACAGAAGTTATCATCAGCAAACATCCAGCAAAATGACTGAAACATGATTTTTAATCAGTGACTTAAAAGCACTTAACAGAATCACATTCTCCTGCACCAGTTTCCCAGGAATTTCAGACTTTTACAATAGCTTTTCCGAGATTTTCTCCCTTTAACATTCCAATGAAAGCCATTGGCATGTTCTCAAATCCTTCAGTAACTTGTTCATGGTACTTCACTTTTCCCTGTCAAAAGGAAGAAAGGAAATTGCTGAGTTTTCATTCACCAGCTGCCTAGTTTTTACCATCATCCCCCTGTACGTGGCACTGGTGAGGCCGCACCTCGAATCCTGTGTTCAGTTTTGGGCCCCTCACTCCAAGAAGGACTCTGAGGTGCTGGAGCGTGTCCAAAGAAGGGCAACGAGGCTGGTGAAGGGTCTGGAGCACAAGTCTTACAAGGAGCGGCTGAGGGAGCTGGGGTTGTTTACCCTGGAGAAGAGGAGGCTGAGGGGAGACCTTATTGCTCTCTACAACTACCTGAAAGGAGGCCGTAGCAAGGTGGGGGGTGGGTCTCCAAGTGACACATGACAGGACAAGACGAAATGGCCTCAAGTTGCACCAGAGGAGGTTTAGATTGGATATTAGGAAAAACTTCTTCACCAAAAGGGTGGTCAAGCATTGGAACAGGCTGCCCAGGGAAGTGATTGAGTCCCTACACCTGGATGTATTTAAAAGAGGTGCAGATGTGGTGCTTAGGGACATGGTTTAGTGGTGGACTTGGCAGTGCTAGGTTAATGGTGGGACCTGATGATCTTACAGGTCTTTTCCAACCTAAATGATTCTATGATATTCTGGAGACTAAATTGCAATGCCATTTTCTCCAGCTTGTATGTTTCATCTGAAACATGCAAGGTGGCATGCACCAGGGCAACTTTGCAAAACTAGGTAGGCTGTTGTGAGGATCTGCTTCTGTTGAAAGACCTGCTTGAAGTCGTAACATGAAGCAAAAGTCACTGCTACAAAAAAATCACACCAGAACAGATTTAGTGCTACTTGGTCCCCAAACAATGGACAGGTAGGGGATTACTTCTCCAAAGCCAGGCCTGTCTCTACCCATAAGGACGTACAGAATTGCAGATCCAAGTGATTAAAAGCTGAGCCATCCCAAATCCTCATGTTTGTAAAAGCTAGAGCCTCTTCGTCTTCCGGGCTTGCACTCACAAGCTTTTCACAGCCATGAACCAAGTGTTAAATTCAGCCTCCATTTAGAAAAATGAAATTTAAGAAATTCCCTATTAAGTCCCTTTAAAGCCCAGCTCCCAGTTCCATAAAAACATCCATTCTTGCCAGTAATTTCAGCACAACACTACAATAGAAATCCTTGCTCATACTACAAATGAAAGGAGACTTCTGAATGAGAAATAAAAGACTCACTCTAAAAATGAAACTCTTCATTGCCAGAGAAGTGTTTTGAATTACTCTGGAAGCATCCTTTCCCAAAGCCTACATGTATTCTGGAATATACCTAAGTCAACAAGCTAATATCGCAGGTCTCAACAAAGCAGAAGGCATGTGGCATGTTCACTACGGCTTGAGTATCCCCAAAAGGCTCAAAGATCAAGTCAGACAGAAGAAAACTATCACGCTGGGACCTCACCTCAACAGCTATGATGAGACCCCTTGCAAAGAGGGAAGCTATCGTGTGAGTACACCTTATAGAAAACTACCCCTTCCTTCCTTACCTCCACCACCCATTTTAGCAGTGCATTCAGACCTTCCTCCCGGCGGTTACTCCAGCGGGTCACAATAAACCCTTCCATTTGAAGCTCTTTGAAGATCATTGGGACCTGCACATAAGGCCCTGCAAGAAAAAGGAACCAGCAAACCACTTGCAATATCAGTTTCATTTAAAATGAGACCCAGTGCCTAAAGAGAGCTTTTAGCTGACAAAGACCACTGAATCACTTTGTTCCAGCCAGAAGCAACTGCTATTTTTTCCAAACAGAATTTCCAGAACAAAAGTCCAAGGATTCATGGACATACAGCCACCCCGGGGAAACAAAGGCCTGATCCGTAAAGCTGTGGGTTTAAACACCCAACGCTTCTGAAAACAGTTTCATTCAGAAGTAAAGCAGCCTTAGCTTCAGCTGAGGTGTTTCAGCTGAATCCTGGAAATATTGTTTTGACAGTTTGTTTGATAGCCTGCCAAGCTATCATGCTCTTCCTAAATCTCAAAAAATTGACACACATTAAGAAACAGGTATATAAACTGTGGGGAGTTGGCTGGAGGGGCAGCGATAGCTGCTTGGGGACAGGCTGGGCATTGGTCAGCAGGTGGTGAGCAATTGCATTGTGCATCACTTGTTTTGTATATTCTTTTATCATTATTATTATTTTCTCTTCCTTTCCTGTCCTATTAAACTGTCTTTATCTCAACCCACGGGTTTGACTTTTTTTTTTTCCCCAATTCTCCCCTCATCCCACCAGGGGGGTGTGGTACTTAGTTGCCAGCTGGGTTAAACCACTCTCAAAAGCCTGTCCCATTTTTAAAGTGATCTTGGAGTCCAAAGCCAGTCAGTTGCCAAAGAGAATTCAGACCTCCCATTTCTTCTAGAAGGCAGATTTGGAAAACTTAATGCTATTGAAAGTGAATATTCATCTCAGCCACATCTCCCAGCAGTTTCACCAGCAGCTGAAATCTTATGGAAAAAAACCCTAAGCTGCCTCATCTAAAAACCTGAGGGGAATCCATTGTCTTATCTAAAAGTATGTTCTGTGCAAATGGCATCATGCCACCACACCTGCCTTCTACTGATCTGTATCTGCTTAGAGCCCTGGGGAATCCTGTTTTCAGTAGTTTAGTCTCTCCTTCCATTTCTAATCAGCTGATCTTCTCCATCTGATACGAGTGTGCACAGAGGGGTATGAGTGCGTGTACACACAAGGAGCGTGGTCACACTCCCACTGTCCCAGAGCAGCGGTTAGGTACCCAAATGCACACACATACACACACTCAAATGGCATACGGAAACAACCAATAAAATCTCAAGAGATTCCCGTTATGTCTTTCTCTGTCACCACCAAACAGGAAATAAACTTAGACAGAAGAAAGCAGGCCCACACCTTGCTGAGGCACTGAGTCATTGTACTGAGAGATGGCTCCACAGACTGCAATCCTTCCATATTTCTTCATGTGGTTGATAGCAATACTGGCAAATTCTCCACCCACCTACAAGAACCAGAGCATGTGCAGCATTAGAGACAATCCAGTGTTTGGCATTGACTGTCAAGACCTGCCAACCTTGCATTGTTGTACCAACAGGTTCCATCAAGGGGTGGAGAGGTAAGTTCCACTACTCCAAAGACTCAGTGGCTGCAGAAATCCAAACATCTATGACGACTCGATGTCACTCTTCTAAAAATTAGTTATGACCGCAGGGAATTGGTTTTAATTCTGAACCTGCTTCACAAAGCTTGGTTTGGAAGCATTGGGTGGGACTTGCCCTTAGATCCCTCCTCCTAAGCTTTTACTTAAATGATTCTCTTCTCCCAGATGGGGATATGCTGTACTCAGCTTTTAATGGAGAAAAGCTGTGATAAAATTTACTGCTGGGAAGTGCTCTGCACAAAAGCTGAAAGTGAGAGGGAAGGGAATGGACGTGACCATAAAACCTGTGTAGGACCTTAGCAGCACAGGACATGAAATTTGGAAGGGTGAGGCAAGGCAGCCAGGAGCTCCTGCCATAGGGGCAAGTGCTTTGCCCTGGCACCGTGCATTCACATTGATTGCCAGGGCAAGGCAGGTGCATTGCAATCCATACAGAACAACAGCGCCGTCACCCCTGGATCAGCGGACAGACTGCTGAGAGAAAGACATGCTAAAGGGGTGATGATGGCTCCCCTTTAAACCAGGTGGCTAGCCAGGGAGTTTTAGGCCAGTATGTCAGCTAATACCCCTGTGCCAGGTATTACATTATCAGGTATAGTGCATATATTAGCTACACTAGGAAATTAAAAAAGCCAGGGCTTGTTCTCTGGCTTGAAGGTGAACTGACATGGTTTGACTGCATCCATACTGTTAAACTCTCTTAGTCTCCAAAATAAGATGGTCACATTCAAACAGCGTATCGAGAACAGTCCATAGCCCCCATTAATTCCAGCTGTACTTGGGAGAGGTCAGAAACCCTCTATGAGCCACTCCAGCAATTTTACAAGTGGTCCTTGCAACTGTGTTATTTACAGGTACCGGTGTAGACACCTGGACCATGGAACATGGGGCTGTCCATGCTCACTCCCCTTCCAGCAACAGCAGAGAACTGCCTGTGGTCCAAGGTGGGCCCAGGAATGGACCAGAGCTCTCTCTGTTCAGCATCAGTTAAATGTTCACTGTGACTCTCACCTCCCCAAAACGTGCCATACTTTCCAAAGAATGAAAGCTTCTCTCTCTCCATTCACAAACACCACCAACAACCCAGCTTTGCCTTTTGATCTTTGTTCTTTCTGTTACTGCCCAAGTCAGATGCAGAAGTAAGTGTGGGAAGGGAACAGGAAAGCAGTAAGCTCTTACAGAGACCATTTCTCAATTAGATGGAACTCAATATCGAGTTCCTGGTGTAGCCTTCAATTATATGTATACAATATTGAGTTCCTGCTGTAGTTTAAGGAAAATGACAGTCTGCTCAGGGTAAGGCCCTCTTTCTGAACTCACATTGTCAAAGAAACAGTCATAGCCATCAGGAGAGGCTTTACGCAGTGCTTCATCCAAAGATGTAACAGTCTTGTAATTAAAGGCTTCATCAAAGCCTATTTTTTTCAGATAGGCAACCTTCTCACCTGAGCCAGCACAGCCAACCACTTTGCAACCCTGCAAGAAAAGGAGAAAAACATTTCTAAACATTAAACATCCCCTCACAACACAGGCTGACACTCAGAGAGTGCTGGGTGGAGGGCTCACCCTTAAAGCCAGGCTGTCATCGCCATACAAGTTCCTGAGCTCTAGGAAACATTCAGGTAGCCTTGCCCCATCTTCAGGAGTTTGTCCCATCTCAAGGCCTTACTGTAGGCATGCCTTCAGGGATGCCCCACCTTCTGATCATTTATGGCCTTTTTCCCCTGTCTCTCAGGTGAGCCTTCTGAGAAGCAAGTATGAGTAGTTCAAGTCACTCACCCCAATTTTAGCAAGCTGCCCCACCACAGAGCCCACAGCACCAGCTGCAGCATTAACCAGCACCGTCTCTCCTGGCTTCATCTTGCAGACCTCCAGCAGACCAAAATACGCAGTGAGGCTGTGCAGACAAAGAAAGCATGTTCAGTGAGGAATAAAAGATGCCAGACACAGAGATGTGACTTGCATCATAGACTTGTCTAGGTTGGAAAAGACCTGCAAGATCATCATGTCCAACTGTTAACCTAGCATTGCCAAGTCCACCACTAAACCATGTCCCTAAGCACCACATCTGCACCTCTTTTAAATACCTCCAGGCATGGGCACTCAACCACTTCCCCGGGAAGCCTGTTCAACTTGACAACACTTCTGGTGAAATAATTTTTCCCAATATCCAATCTAAACCTCCCCTGGTGATACTTGAGGTCATTTCCTCTCATCCTATTGCTTGTGACTTGGGAGAAGAGATGAATCCCCACCTGGCTACAGCCTCCTTTCAGGTAGTTGTAGAGAGAGATAAGGTCTCCTCTCAGCCTCTTTTCTCCAGGCTAAACAACCCCAGCTCCCTCAGCTGCTCCTCATAAGACTTGTGCTCTAGACCCTTCACCAGCTTCATTGCCCTTCTTTGGACATGCTCCAGCACCTCGATGTCCTTCTTTTAGTGAGGGGCCCAAAACTGAACACAGGATTCCAGGTGTGGCCTCACCAGTGCCGAGTACAGGGGGACCATCACTTCCCTGGTCCTTCTGGCCACACTATTCCTTGAAGGGAATGAGACACGGACTCCGCATATGAGTTTAGGCGAAGACAAGCGCAGACCCTTTATTTTTACAATCTATCCCTTTTATAATATGATCTAGTGTTCACGAGCAAGCAAAACCCATTTCATTGGCTACTGTCTTTTGTCCACGCGTCTCTTCAG